GCCTCTTGGCAATAGTGTGGGCCCACTTGGGGACTCGTGGAGGGCAGGGTCCAGCAAGGGAAACAAGCCTCCTGGAAGCAAAGGCCCCGCACCTGCCACAGCAAACGACCTCGGTAGGTTTCGGCTGGGTCGGGACCGAAAAAGCATAAAGCTGGTGAAAACGCAAACCTTTAGCCAAGAGGGGCACCTGGGACTGGGCAACTCTCTCAGCTAAGGTGAGCGGCTGGGGCTTGACAAGATTGAGTGAGGGGGGAGCATCACGCCGTGGCCTCTTCACTCGATGCAAGCAATCTGTCTCTGCCATGACAGCTCCAACCTGCGCGATCCACACGCCGAGGCCTCGCACGAACTTCTGATGCTGAGCGGTCAGCCTCTGAAACTGGAGGGCCGGCCTGCGATCATAAGCACGAGCTTTGGCCTCTTCATCTGCACACTTGTTGCCGAAGGTGTGCCGAGAGGACTGGACACCCTCCAAGACGGCCTTCTGGGTGACATGGGACTTGACCTTAACGACCTGGACCCCGTCGCCCCAGTCGTCGAGCTTGTCCCAGACGAGCCTCCAGAGATGAGCCCAAGAGAAACCCGCAGCAGTAGTGTGCTCTCTGCCCCATCGATTTACCCCTTTGACGACGAACATCGAGTCGGAGTGGATATTCACTGGCGGCGTAGCGTGCAACAGCACAGCATATAACGCATACAACTCCGCACCATCGATATCTTGATGCGGTCCTGGCAGCACGCCAGTGAGAATGGTGGCAACTGCATCACCATTGGGCTTGAGGGAGACACACGAAAAGCCAGCAACAGGGTACGTGGGGAGATCTTCATAGAGCGACCCATCCACAAAGATGTCACCAGTAAGATTCCCTGGGCTACCTTCCCACCGATAGTATGGCTGCAACGGCCACTGCAACAAATCAGGCGGAACTCGAGGCTTACCGAGAACACCACGCTCGAGGAAGATCTCAACTAGCTTGTTGTGAACGGCCTGCACAGCCAATAGTGCGACTCGCTCAGGAACAGGAGTGCCCAGCTCCTCAATGCACGAACAGCGCGCATGCCTATGTGCTAGAGTGCCGTCACCATCATGACAGATTAGGCACTCGGGAGAGTCGACCCAACCCTGCGCATGCTGTCGTGCTTGCGGCCACTGCCCACCTATGGCCACAGACCGCAGGTAGGCCCCTTCAGAGGCCGTGAGCAACCGCGAGAAACACAGCGAGCGCAAGGGTTCGATCCAGATGCCTTCCAGGAACTCTGGAGCCTCGAAGTGCTGGGAGATCTTCTGCATCTGCCACGACACGACAGCGCGCTCGACAAGGGCCTCGACGGACCTAGGGCAGAGCTCCAAGGGGTTGACAACCTGGCCATTCGGGAAGATCCAACCACGAATATTACTACAATCAATACCAACTCTATGCAGGGACGCCCAGAGCGCGGAGAAGGGCCCCTTGATGGCTTGCCATGGAGAACTGTGGGGTCCCAGCCTGGCAGCAGCAGCGGCAATACCTTTCTCCAGGGTACGCAGCGGCATGAGGCCCCTCCAGAGGACGTGCATGAAGGCCTTGACGGGCTCCAAGGTGGCCCGATAAATGGGATCCATGCGAGGGGACGGCGTGAGCAGCAGTGCCATAGTGCGTGAACGCCCAGACGCACGAGAATCCAAAGCAGCAGCAGCAAGCGTGCGCAGCGTGTCAAGCTCGGTCATGCTCGTGCCCTGAACGCTCGTGCCAAACGTGACCGTGGTCTCGATAGCCGCACGCGCCATGTGTTGCAGCGTCTTCTTCCTAGCACTGGCCCCCTGTAGATGCCTAAGCCTTTTCAACTTGGCCTTGGCCACGGGGATCCTGGCAGCGCGGGTCCGCCGACGGGTAGCACGAGCTGCCGAAAAATCAACTCCAAGATTACGTTCTGAATGCACTGCAAGTGCGCGCACACTGACCAAACGTCGCTGTAGCTCGGCTTGCAGCTCGGGTGAACTCGCAAGCACACGTGACTTGTCAAGCGCTATGATCATGTCGACTCTGTGCAACTCAGCCTTCAGAAACACACCTGCTGCTGCTAACTCATCAACGACACGTCGTGCACCTCCACTCCTCTGAAGGCTGAGGTCGTCGACACAAACAGCAAGAGGAACAGTAGGATGCTCCCTCCGAACCTCATCGAGAGGACCTATGAGCATCAGCTGCAAAAGGCAAGTGGCATACAGGCAGCCTGGAAGGATGGTCTGCTCGACCGACAACTGCTCACTGCACAGACCTTGCATTTCCAGAACGCGAGGGGCCCGATATGCCTGAACCAATAGCTTAAGTTGCCAGAGAGGAAAACCAGTTTTTTGTGCGGCACGGATAAGATGCTCGTGTCGAACGAGTTCGAAAGCCTTCTTGAGATCGACGAGCAGCGTAGCCGTATCCGAGCCGGTGTCAGTATGATATTCAGCCCAAGCCGCTTGAAGCCAAACCGATAGCTCAGCCGACTTGCCCCGAATAGCCCACCAGAAATGTCTATAGTTAGCCTTCTGCCAATCCTGCAATATATCCCGACGGAGCCTAGCTTGAACCCGACACAGACAGTGCATAAGTCCAAGCGGCCTGACTCCACCAAGCCGCTTGAGGATGAACACGATGCGGGTGGTCATCGGCGGCCACACGATCTGGTGCTCTATCGCTGAGACAAGCTGACACAACAACTCCAGGGCTTCATCAGGGAGTCTTAAAAGCTGACGCGGCGGCAGCTGGTCGAACCCACTTCCCGTCCCCTCTGGGAACGTCTGGAGGACTTTTTTGAGGTGCTCCAGGGTGGGGGCAGGAGGGCGTTCCCCAAGGTTGAGGGGCCAGGAGAGGGGAGGATGCTTTTCCCCGATCTGCCACCATTTAGCCCATTCAGCCTGAAGGATATCAACCTCCTGCATCGAGTTGGCAGGAGCGTACTGAACCAGCGTAGATGACTGCCATGCATCAGGGAGCTTGATATACTTAAATAGAGCAGCCGAGCCGTTGACCGAGTGCTTTTTGACCCATTGCTCCCACCCGGCCGTCTTGTGCGAGGCAGCCGCTCGAGTCAGAGATGAAGCCTGATCATTAGCCATAGCAGACAGCACCTGGGCAAAAGAGTAGCACATATCACAATGCTGCACGTAGTCCAACATGACGCAGAACTGCGCCATGTAGCCAGGCTGAACCAAGGGCGAGGCCTGCAACTTCCTAGCTGCTCGCACGATCTGGCGAGTCCTGCTTGGCGTACATGGGTGGGATAAAGCCTGAAACAACTGCGACACGTTTCGCCACCAAATTGCAGGCGGACTGACCCGAGGAAACGCAGGCGGTCCAGGACGTCCAGGAGAAACCCAGCGAAAACGCACGGGCCCACGTCGCCCGCAAAAACCAGAGGCCAGATCGGGGTCGATTTGGTAAACCTCAAGCAGCTCCGACTCGGCCGCCGTAATAAACAAATCCCAAGACTCCGCAATCTTACCAGACTCGACGGCAGCACGAACACGGTCCCACCGATGCTCATCAGGTGCTTGACGGGGCCCAGCAGGAACCAGCACAGGAAACCTCTTGGGGACCTGGGCGACGCGAACCTTCACAGACTTCCGAGGCAGACGAAGGCACATCCTGACAGGGTAGCGAGGTGCAACAGGAACTGAGTAGACTACCTCAGCAGTGGCATACGGAGCGAGCTCACGGCTGACAACAAAATAATCGATCACACGATCGGCTGGACGGCAGGTTCCATCCCTGGTGGAGATAACGACCCCGTCAATGGCTGAAACCCATCCGCTAAAATCTAACACCTCAGGCTCCAGGTTGAAATCCCCAGCAAGTATGAACGGCATCCCCAGGGTCCTCAAGACACCTCCAAGACGACACAATATGTCCCAGTTTTGCGTGGCAAGCCCGATACTGTGATGAAGATCGATGCTGGCAATCAGGACGCCTCCAGGAAGGATGCCTCCAAAGTGCAAAAGCCCTAGGCGCCCAGGCTCCAGAGTATCGGGGGTCCCAGAGACAGCCGATAAACCAATATGCTTGGGTACCGAAAGAATGACTCCACCTGATGTGCCTCCTCGTCCTGTGGGCACGGCAGGGAAGACTCGACCACGTCGGCCCTGACTCCGAAGTTGAGCTTCAAGTGGCTCAGCGTCGACAACATGAGTCTCTTGAAGCGCCAGCACATCAGCACAGGCAAGGGAGGAGGAGAGGAAAATGTCAAGCCCAGCACGCTCAGTGACATTGCACGTCACAAGAGACCAGGCACGCGACTCAGAGGGCTCACAGCTACCCGCGCTGCTGTACCTTGGGCTTCTTGACGTTCTCCAAGGCGTGCTGCAGGGCGGCCTCGACTGCCTTGCGTGTGATGCCGTGGCTGCCAGCATCAGGGTCATCTTCTGCACCGAGATCCTCGGCTTCACGCTGGCCGGCCTTGGCGACGAGGTCGTCGATCCACTCGCCGTCGAGGTCGGCGAAGCTGATGCCCTTGCCGTCCATGGCGTCGTCCATGCTTCCGCTCGCCACGGGTGGGGGCTGACCAGGCTGACCATCAGCACCAGGAACATCACCATTCTCAGCTGGTTGAGCTGCTTCGGCCGCCGCAGCCTCAGCAGCCTGCTTGGCCTGGCGCTCGGCGGCCAGGTCCCGCTGCTTGATGAGCAAGTCGAAGTCGCTGAGCACGGAGGGGTTGACGCCAAGCTTCTGCAGCTGGTCGCGGAGCGCAGCTGCAGGGTCGTGAGCGTCACCGCTGGCCTGCTGCTGCCCCGAGAGCTGCGTGAAGGCGGTGGCCGCCCGCTTGGCAGCCTCGCGCTCCTGCGCCTGCAGTGCCACGAACTCGCACTGCAGCTTGTGGACGCGCTCGACCTGCAGCATGAGGTGGCCACGAGCCTTGTCCAAGGCCGTCTCGGCCTTCTGCACCTTCGCCTTGAGCGTGTCGTGCTCCATCTTGGCCTCCTTCGAAACAGCCATTGGGTCGCCGCTGCGCACAGCACGACGTGCCAGCACCTTGGACCGAACAGCCACAGGAATAAGACCAGAGAGTGCATCAAACTGATCACTATCCATGACCAAAAATGCTTCGAACTGTTTATCATCGAGAACATCATACGTGTGGGTGTGCGTAGAGCCCCCTCCGCCGTCAGCGCCGCCACCTCGAAACTTCGGCGGTCCATTGGCCCACGCACCCGCAGGGGGCTTTGTAGCAACAACTCCTGGGGCTGCAGGACGGGGGGCTCCACAACAGTAGCATGTCTTGCGCCACTGGAAGTTATTCGCGAACTGGCACTTCTTGACCGAGCAGGTCCACACCTGCAGACTCCACGGCTTGCGGATGAAGCCACCACCGCCGCCGCGACCATTGGCGCCCATGAGGAAGGGAAATCTGGGCTGTTGCTCCCACAGGAGCTCACTGAAACGCAAAAAACCTCGCCTGACCCAGGCAAGGAGGTGCACTGTCGGGGGCCGCTGCTATCCCCCAGGCCAGTAAGGTCAGGTCCGAGCCGAAACCGCTACGGACTTGAGCCAAAATGGCTACGGAAATTCATCTCCTCCTCCTCCTCTCCCTCCTCCTCCTCCTCCTCCTCATCCTCCTGCGCAGCGCCAGGCCAGGTGCACTCTGGGACCGGGGTGTGCTGCGCACGCCTCCGTGGCCGAAGCCACAGCGGTCCAGCGGGGGAGGGGAGGTCGAGTCCACGACGCCACTGCCTGGCGTCTTCCTCGTCTGGGCCCCCCCTTGAAATATCTCGCCACCACGCCTGGATCCGCTACGAAAGCTAATCATGATGCACCCCCAGAAACAAAAAAACGATGTTGAATGGGTTTGGGCAGGGGGGGCCGCCGTTGTCCCAATCGGCCCTCCTCTTCCGAGTCTGCGCGCCATCCCGGCACTGGCCAAGCGCTGGAATGGTGGTGTTTGATGCCTCCTGTGGAAACGGGGAATGAAAGGAAATGGAAGGAGAAACCCGCATCCCTCGCGATTCAGAGATTGCGAGCCCGCGCGGGACCAACACCGTGTTCTACCATCGAACGTGGTGCAACCTATGCGGTGCAGTCTACGTGGTGCAGCATATGTTGTGCAAACCACGTGGCGCAATCTACGCCACGCGATACAGGTGGTGCAACCTACGTGGTGCACGTAAGTCTTGGTAGCAGAGTACTGTTCACCCCACTGCTCGCGCAACCATCCCACCCACCCACCCGCAACCTGGTTTGCAGAAGCCCACGCGGCGGCGATGGCGATAACTGCTTGGCGCTGGCAGGCGCATCGCTGCGGCCGCGCGCACTGCGGCCAGCAAGCCTGGCGCGACCGACTCGGCCGCGACGGCGCTGACCGCTGGGGACTTCCTGGCGCGTCTCGCAGGTCGCGCTGGTGCGCGGTCGCTTCAGTCACAGACCCCCGAAGTCATGACTTTTTCATGACGTCGACACCCAGAAATATGGACCCCTTCCCGAGGACCGGTTTTCCATCCTGAGTCGTTGTTTGACGGTCCCGAGGCCCGGCGAGGTCCCCCAGAGGCCGAAAATGGTGAAAAACCTATCGTCATGATTTTGTCATTGCTCGAGGGGGTCTGGGGTGCGAGTCGGTGACTCAGGCGGGCGCGGTCTCACAGCGACGTCTACAACGGTAGACACGCTGATGACAGCAACGGATCCCAGCCTTGGTGACGAGAATCGCTGGCGAGCCCAGGTGGGAAGCGAGAGGGGGGGCAACCCGTCTCAGAAGGCGCCCAGCCTTCTCGGAAGCCCTCGCGCGTTTTGAGAACTGGCGGCCTCCTGGATAGGGTCGGAGCAGATGGGGTCGGAGGATCGCGCCGCATCGGCGATGCATCGGCGACGTCGGCGAGGCATCGGCGCGGTCGGCGTGGCGAAAAGCGGGCTCCACAGAGAGCCACATCGGCGATGCATCGGCGATGCGGCGTGATCCTCCGACCCCCATCTACTCCGACCCCACCTAGGAGGCCTAGAAGAAACCGCTTGCGGTTTGTGAGAAGGCGCACAATACGTCCCAGAAGGCGCGTGGGCTTCCGGGAGGCCCCGGGGCCGCCGTCTGAGAAGGCCTGCCTCCAGGCCCGCCACTGCGAAAGGCCTCCAGGAGGCCCAATAATGACAAGAGCAAACGCCAGGGAGGGCTGCCGTGGCTTCGACTGGCTGGCTGGCACGGCCTGGGCACCACTCGACACCTCTCTGCGAGGTGCAGCTGCTGGAAAGAATCCCGTGGAAAACCTCCAGGGACGACGAAGCCTGAAAACTGTCGAGGGAGGGTTCGAGAAACTTCCAGGGACGACGAAGCCTGAAAAGGGTCCGAGAAACTTCCAGGGACGACGAAGCCTGCAAACTGTCGAAATCCCGTGGAAAACCTCCAGGGGCGACGAAGCCTGAAAACTGTCGCACGGGTTCGAACACCTCCGAGGGAGGGCCGCCGTTGCCCCGGCGGCGACGCCGAGGGCGCTCCGCGTCCTCGGACGCCGAGAGGTCCAGGCCGAGCGGGTCCTGGGCGCGAGCCGCGCGGAGGCGCCGAGCGGGCGGACAAGAGAACCTCCCCCTACCCTCTCCGCCCCCAGGGCCCCCCCCCCTTTCCCATCCCTCAACCTCCTCTTCCTCCTCCTCCTCCTCCTCCTCCTCCTCCTCCTCATTCTTCTCCTACTCCTCCTCCTCCTCCAACTTCCCCTCCTTCTCCTCCGCCACGTCCTCCTCCTCCTCCTCCTCCTCCTCCTCCTCCTCTCCTCCTCTCCTCCTTCTGCTCACCCCCGATGCCAAAGGCTTACCGTAGCCCTAGTTGTGCTTGCTGTGCTGGACGCATGGGGCGGCGGAAAGGGCGTGAACGAGCGCGGCGAACGCCAGAGCAACACCTGCACAAAAACCTCTAGGGACAAGTAGGCAGGGCGATACCGTCCCATCATTCCCGCATCTTGATACCTGTTACGTCTCTTCACTCTTCTCTTGCTGGCTCCTCTGCTTTCTCGTCGTCCTCGCCAGGTCTACCTCTTGATTTGGCGGAGCCATTTCCCCTGTTTGCTGTTGATCGAAGCCCCGACCTCCAGGGCAGAGCCGTGCGGTAATGCCATCGGTCCTGCATGTACGTCGCGCGTGCACACAAGATGCACAAATCTCCAAGACACAGTCTGGCGGCAATTCTGGCGGTCCTGCGCACACCCACTCTCTGTCCGTATTCTCCCATGCATTGCGTCTTCCTTCATTCGGCCGTGCGATTGCCCTCGTGTTGCTTCCGCTCCCGCTCTCCAGTTCTCCAGCTCTCCTGCGCAGGTGGGAATATCGCGGGAGTGAGCGCGGACACAATGGCTTGCACCAACAGCCGCCGGGTGCGCGAACCCAAGGTGTGGGATAGATGGTTTCCGCGCGCTGCTACACCAAGAAGGGAGAAGGCGACCTGTCAACATCGATCCCTGTCTTGTGCTGTCTGTTCTTCTCTGTGCTACTTTTCAGTCTGCATGTGCCGCATTGGGCATCATTCGCTGCACGGGCCCTGTAGTTCGCCAAAGCCGCCGCGCGAGCGGCGGCCCTGCCCTTCGCGGTCTCGGGAAATCTTTGGGTCTAAAGTCGCCATCACCTTCTGCTTCATCCTTCGTATCCCCCTCCAACTCTTCCTCCTCCTCCTCTGCCTCCCCGCCCACCCCTCCTCCACCTCCTGCTCCTGCCCCTTCTTCTCCCGACGAGGGTCAGCCCGAAGCTGTTGGAGAACGCGCGCAATCAAGATCATGATCCTTCTGCTCGCCCTCCTCCTCCTCCTTTCCCCTCACTCCTCCTTTGTCATTTTGCCTCCTCGTCGACCTCTTGTTCCTCCCCCTCCTCTTCCCCCCCGCCTCCTCATCAGTCTCCTTCGCCCTTGTCAGCGTTTTCTTTCTTGGCGTTTCGACATTGGGCGGAAGGGGAGAGGAGAGGGGGGGGTCTGGCTCCTGACCTCTGCTTAATGCGTCCGCTTGCAGCAATGCGTCTTAATGGGGAGGGACTCCACCTGCTCGAAACAGGCGCCGGAAGCAGCCAAGATCTACTCCACGGGGGCGGGGAGGGGGAGCGCGAGGGCCCGCGCCGACCGGCAAAACAATGACTGAGAAAACGACGACCTTCCCCATACAGCAGGGCCGTGATTGTACATGTATTTCCACCGTGCCCGACCAAGAAATCGGTGAGACTGCTTCCGCATATCTTGACTCCACTGAATAACCCAAAACTTCCCTTATCAAGACGCATCGCCTGGGCACTTTTGCTGGGTGGGCGGTCCGTCAAGAGAGAAAAGAAACACTGCGCGACCAATCGCGAATGGAACGACTCCCACCATCCTCCACAGAACATGCTTCGCTCCCGCATGTGCCATTTAGCATTAAACCTCATGCTCACAACGACAAGCGCTGCGTAGCCTTCCCTCAGACAGAAATCAACACCATACACAAAGTGGCACGTTCCAGCCCTTCTGAACAACAAAAATCAAACACATCATTTGGAGTTTTTCAGACACGCCTTCGGGCAAAAACATAAGATTGTTTTTGTTGAAGGGTTGTCCCCCGACCCTGGCTGTTAGCTTTTTGTTGGGGGACCCGTTCTACAGACGGGGCCCAGGCTGCAAATTACTCGTTGGAGGTGGTCAATGCCTGCTGGGGCGGAGCACGCTCCAACCAAAGGATTCAAGGCGTAATCCGCCATATGGAAAAACATATAAAACAAACAAACAAAAACATGATCCTCAGTGCTCTCATTCACCCTCCACCCTCTCTTCTCTCAAGCTTACCCCTCCTCCCTCCCTCGCCCACTCCTCCTCCCCCCCATTGCTCCTGCTTCTGCTCTCCGTGCTCTCCTGGCCCCCCCCCTTTGCCGCCCTGTCTCTTCCCCGCCCTCTCCTCCGCCCTCCGTCTGTTCCTCTACTGTCGTTGCCGCCGCCGCCGCCGTCGCCGGCGCTGCTCCGCCGCCGCTGCCGTCTTCGCCGCCGCCGCCGTCGTCGTCGTCGCCGTCGTCGTTGTCGTCGTCGTCGCCGCCCGTCGCCTCTTTGTCGGGGTGCTGCTTCGTGCGCCGGCTTTTGGCTTCCTGGGGGCTTCCTCGTTGCCAGGGCTGGACGTTGCGCTCTCTCTGTGGGTGGCTCCGTGGGACGCGGATGGGAGGCCGTCTTGAGGGGTTGCTGCCCATCCTTGGTCGCTGGCCCCGCTGCCGCCGCGGCCGCTGTCGGCGCCGGCGCCGCTGTCGCCGCCTCCTCGTCGTCGCCGTTGTGCCGTCGTCGTCGTCGTCGTCGTCGTCGTCGTCGTCGTCGTCGTCGTCGTCGTCGTCGCCGTCGCCGTCGCCGCCGCCGCCGCCGCCGCCGCCTCCGCCTGCCGCCTTCGCCGTCGTCGTCGTCGTCGTCGTTGCTGCTCTTCTGTCGCTGATCTGATGGGCCTGCCTCCCCCGGGATGGAGGGCGCCTGCCCTGCGGACTGCTGGCGGTCCCTCGTGCCACGGCCAGGTTCGCCCCGAATCCTGTCTGCGTGCTGGGAGGCTGAGGGGCTGTGCGACGCTTGTGGATCTACGACCGCGCTGCTGCTGTGGAGCGCTGCAGGATTCCTTTTATCGCTCCTCTCCTGGTGGGTTGTCCCCCCCCCCCGGGAGGCCTCGAGAGGCCTCGGTTGTGCTAGCGCTTTGGGGAGTTCGCTCTTGCTGGGCCTCCTGGTTCTGGTGGCCTCTTTTGGCACTCTCCAGGAGGGCGTCTGCGACTGCTCCTTGCAGCCTTTCTCTCCCCGCGGAGTCCCTGTCCGGTACCCGAGGCGCCTCCTGCTTTCCTGCGCTTCTTGGTCCCTGCTCCTGCTTCCCTTGCTCTCTTCCTCCTCGTCCCCGTCTTCGTCTTTGTCCTCCCTCCCCCCTGCTGCGCTGTGTTGGTTTCCTGGGGCGGTGGCCCCTGGGGGGCACTCTCGTTGCCACGACGGGGTGCGGCAGGGAAAACTGCGTCTCGGCTCCGGGGGGGGGCTTGGTTCGGGGTTCTGCCCTCTTCTGTCCGTCCCCCCCCCCTTTCCCTCCCTCCCCTGTCGTCCTTGCGCCCCCCCTCCCTCCGTATTGTCTGGAAGGGAAGAGTGCGTTGAGGATCCCCAGATCTTCCTAGCCCCTCCCCATCTCAGGGGGTGCAGGGTTCTCCCACCTGATGGGAGCTGGGAGCGAAAAAGTTTCCAAGGCTCCCCGTCCACTCCTCCGTCCAGACTCAGCCGCCTTCGCCCTCGCCCTGCCGTCTCCGGCTGCTCAGTGCGCCCTGGCCCCAAGGGGATCAGGTAGGACTGAGGCCGTGGAGGTGGGTCGGGGGCGGGGGCTGGGAGCGGATCTGGATGGTCTCCACCACCCACGCTGGCAGACTGCGGTATGCCTTGCAAGGACTGGATGGTTGACCCCAGGGCAGATCCCTTTTACAGCTCCCTGTCCGCACTCACATGCGCTCGCTCGGGAAACCCCTGGTGCAAGGTGGGGTGCCCTCCTCCCCTGCTATCCCTGGAGATCGCCAGGGAGGTGGGGGGGCCCCTCCTTCCACCGGAGCTGTTGTCCCCTGTGCGCGGATGTGGGAGCCGACTGAGGTCAGGCCGCGGCTGGTTCACCTCCCGGCTGCCCTCGGGGTGCTGTCCCTGCAGCCCTCAAAGGATGCCCACAGTGGCCACCAGCCAGCCTTCCTCCGCCCCCTCCCCCCCATTGCACTCCCCCTCCTCCCCATCCTCATCCTCACCCACACTCCCTCATCCTCGCTCCCTGATTCCGGTCCTCCCTTGCTCTCACTTCCCTCCCGCGGTCCCTCCTCACCCTCCCTGCCCTCACCCGCCGTCGTGCTCCCTCCTCCTTCCTCCCCCCATGCTGCAACCCTATTCCTGCCTTGCCCTCCCGCTCCCTCCCGTCCTCCTACAATGCCAGCGGCGCGCGGAGGGGGGCCGCGCGGAGCACGTCCCCGTCCACCGCCCGCGGCTTGTCTGCTTGCCGCCGCGCGGTCAGGCGCGTCCGCTTGGCCTCACGCCGCCGCCGCCGCCAAACACCGACGCCGTTGCCCCTGGCTGCTCCGCCTCTTCTCCTCCGCCTCGCCCTCTCACTCCTCATCCTGCGCCTCCACCTCGTACTCCTCCTCCTTGCCTTCCACCTGAGGCTTTCCTCCTCCTCCTCCTCCTCCTCCTCTCCTCCCCATCCTCCTCCTCCTCCTCCTCCTCAGCCTCCTCCTCCTCCTCCTCCTCCTCCTCCTCCTCCTCCTCCTCCTCCTCATCATCATCATCATCATCATCATCATCTTCCCTCTCATCGTCGGCCTTGTCGTCAACGGCATCCACCTCCCCCGCCCTGTCGTCAGTCGTCGGCTGGCGCCTCCCTCGCTCTCGTTCTCCTCTTCCGATCCGCTTTCTTTTGTGACGGAACCGCATCGGGGAAAGAGAGGGAGAATAGTTCACCGGTCCGCAACTAGGAGGATGGTGAGTCGGGAGAATGGGGAAACAAGCCCTAGAACCTATAGAAGCGAAGCCTGCTCCTTGTGCCCCGTCCTCCTCTTCCTCCTTCTTTTCTTCCTCTAAGTTCCTTTCGGCTCCTCCTGGAGGGGATGGAGGCTGGCTGGCGGGACCTGTGGGCGACCCCCGAACGACGGGAGCGAATGCCGACCAGCCAAGACCGGTGCAGACATGGCCGAGCCCGAATTGGCACAACATATGCACGGAGGGGAGGGCGAGGAGACAGAGCAAGAAGAGTCGGAGAGCAAGGAGAAGAAGCAGGAAGGGGAGGATGGAGGAGAAATGAGGAAGGATGGCGGGGGCGGAGGGGGGGAGAAAGGGTAATGCGGAGGCAGAGGCGGGGAAAACGAGACAAGGAGGAGGAGCAGGAGGAGTAAGGAGAAGACGAGGAGGAAACGCACAGGAAGAGGACGGCGGCAGGAAGGATGACGAGAACGAGGACGAGGATCTCCCTGCCTGCCGTTGGAGAATGTCCTCGGCGGCGTCTAGAGGCCTCCCAGAGGTACCCGCCACCATCACCATAATTATAACTATCATCACCTTCATTATCCTCATTATCATCCTCACTATTATCCTCATCCTCATCATCATCCTCATCCTCATCCTCATCCTCATCCTCATCCTCATCCTCATCCTCATCCTCATCCTCATCATCATCATCATCATCATCATCATCATCATCATCGTCATCATCATGAGCATCAGCATCATCACCATTATCATGATCATCATCGTCGTCATGATCATCATGCTCAGCCTCACCATCACCATCATCATCACCGCCATCAGTATCATGTTAACGATCACCATATCCATATCCATCTCAATCACCACCACCACCGTCATCACCACCATCATCACAATCATCATCATCAACATCATCATCACCAACATGACCACCACTATTACCATCTCCATCACCACCACCATTATCACCACCATCATCAGCATCAACATCGGCATCACCATCACCATCAATATCATCATCATAGTTATTGGCATCGTCATCGTCATCGTGACCGTCATCGGCATCATCATCGACATCATCGTCATCACACTCACCGTCATCATACTCATCAGACTCGCCATAACCATCATCAGCATCATCCTCATCCTCATCATCCTCGTTCCCATCCTTGTCAACATCATCATCGTGATCATCATCACCAGCATCATCATTATCAGCTTAATCAGCATCGTCGAAATAAGAATCAACATCATGATCACCATCATCATCATCATCACGATCATCATCACCATCAACGTCATACTAGGTGTCGCAAAAGACGGCCTCGCGTGACACCCTGAATCATCGCCACTCACAGTGCTGAGCTGGCACGTTGGCGGGACTTGCCGCAGGCAGCTGGAGTCCAGGACGAGGATCTCACTATCTGCGGCTGGACGCATCCCCCCGCGGCGTCGCGAGGCCCCAGAAAGGCAGAAGACGGTCCCGAGATCTCGAGGGGCAACGGGCGGCAACGGCATCGGCGACGGGCCAGCATGGAAGTCGGCGGCGGCAGCGGCGGCGGCGGCGGCGGCGACAAAGGCCCACTGCCGGGCCAGGGCGGCGGGCGCCTGCGGCCTGGGCGTGGCCGTCCTCTGCCAGCCGCTGCAGCACCCCGTGTAGCCCACGCCGAGCCCCAAGCGCGGGTTGGAGGCCCTGCCGGACGGGGCGCGCCTCCCATCACGAGCGGCGAGCGTGTCCATGTCGACGAATAGTCTGGACTGGGTGGGGCGATCCGGCGGATACGCGGTCGCAAGGAAACGTCCCGCAGCGGGCATCCGTGCACAAACGCCAAGTGTCCACAAGGTCGCAGCCCAGGGGCCTGGCACGCGAAGCCGCGGATGCGGACATGTTTTGCGCCAGCGGTCCTCGGTCCTCAGGCCCCCCTCGCGCGAGATGCCGTCGGAACTTTTGTTGGTCGGCGGTCGTGAGCGATCGGGACGGCGGTCCAGCAGCGATGGGCCGCGCCAGAGCAAAGCAAGGCACCAAGGAAACGCGAGGAGGAGGAGGAGGTGGAGGAGGAGGAGGGGGAAGATGAGGAGGAGGAGGGGGAGGGGAGGAGGAGGAGGGGAGGAGGGGAGGGGAGGGGGAGGGGAGGGGGGAGGAGGAGGAGGAGGAGGAGGAGGAGGAGGAGGAGGAGGAGGAGGAGGAGGAGGAGGAGGAGTAGGAGTAGGAGGAGGAGGAGGGGGGAAAGAGGAGGAAGGGGAGGGGAGGGGGAGGGGGAGGGGGAGGGGGGAGGAGGAGGAGGAGGAGGAGGAGGAGGAGGAGGAGGAGGAGGAGGAGGAGGAGGAAGAAGCAAGAAACTCTTCGGGGCGAGCAGCCGTGCACGGGTCGAGGGCACCAGGGCTTCTCCAGGTTGACGACTTCCGTCGCGGCGTTAAGTCGGGCCTGTCCTCCTACAGGGGGATTGTGGCCGAAACAAAAGAATCAAAAAATGCCTCCAAATGGTCAACACATGCGATTAAAAACATACTCCGGATATTTTGTGACTGTTTGGGAATATTCCTCCTGTAGAAGGACACGCCCGACTCAATGTCCTGGCGCCCGGTACCCGCTGTCCGTCTCGCGAGGCGCTCCTGCTGCTCCGCCCCCCCTTGCTGCAGCCCCCTCCGCAGGGAGGGCCGCGGCGACGGCAGCGACGGCCACGTCGCGAAGCGTCGTCGTCTCCGTCGAGGCGGGCGCCTCCCGGGCCCCGCCTGCCGTCGATGCCTGCCGGCCCTCCTGCTCGGATGCTCCTCGTGGGCACCCTCCTCCCGGCGGGGGCGGGGGCGGGCCCTGGCTGGGGGGCCCGGGAGCAGGCCCTGGCCCTGGCGAGCGACCGGGTCGGGCCGGGCATCAAGACGGAGGGTCGGAATGGGCGGGGGGAGCCTTGATTGATCGCCTGGGGCGGGATCGGGCTCCGACAGGAAGGCTCGGAAAATGGACAGAAGCCCTTTCGCAAACCGTGGTTTCGTGAACACGGCCTCGGGCCCAAGCCTGGCGGGCGCAGGCCTGGAAAAGAACGGCCGCAGCGCCCTCTCGAGATCCGAAAACGGACAATTCACTCATCGACGTGTCAGGGTGGGAGGTCTGTCCACACCCGACAGGCGGACGGGCAGTGCGGCAGACCCTATCGAGCGCTGAGTTCAGGTTGGGCTGCTGTGCAAGCCCTGGCCGATTCGGGCGGTCGGGCTTGGGCAAGCGGGCCTCGATTGACTGGGGCGGTCGTCGAGCAAGGCGGAACAGCACGACAACTCGCACGGTCAAAGCGAAAACTCGTTCCATGAGCGTGCGAACTTGATCTGCTAATCGAAAAAGCGAGGCGCTAATATGCTGCCGCCAATCCGACGCCCCTGCAAATTCGTGGCCACGGCTTATGAATGGTGGTGCCCTTCAGCCACGGCAATCTGCTCGCTCTCCACACTCGACTTCCAGACCTGGTCTGGAGCGCGTGCCGACCAAGATGCCGAGAAGGGTACGGCCGCCGCGACGTGGGCCCATCCGGGAGTCTCCCGAAGAAGCTGCAGAAGAAGTCGAGCATCGCCTCACAGAGGTCACCGAGTTGCCCAGAAGCCTATGGAGCCACAAAGTCTGTAAAAACGCTCCAACAAAAACGACATGCTCATCCTCGTCGTCGTCGTCGTCGGCCCAGTCGTCGATTGGAACGGGTGTCGGGGATCTACTCACCCAGGTCAATCCAGAGCCGGGTCAGTCAAACTTTGGGCCAAATCTTGTAAGATCCAGTGCCACGCTGGCTCTGCAGGATCCTGCAAGATCCGGCGCTCTGGTTGACCCCTGCTTGCATTGACTCCCGTCCCAAGGCCCCAGAGGGTGTCCTGTCGTAGGGAAAACACAGGGGTCCCGAAAGATGGGGTCGTAAGGACGAGGTGCCTCATACAATGTAATAGGGGAACGAAACAAAAAACATAACCATACAAACTCGGAGGTCCGCGCGGATTTCTTGGATCCGCGCTGGACACCCCTCCCTGGCGCGCGATGCGCGCCAGCGGCGGCGCCGGAGGCACCGCCAGGGAGACGTGGCGCCGATCCGAGAAGCCCGCGCGGACCTCCGAGTTGTTGTTTCTGCCATTGTTCGTTCCCCCCTTCCCACCCTGAAGACACCATCACTCCGGACTTCATCTTTGAATCACCCGTCCTGGGGGGAACGGCCCCTGACGGCCCGTTCCATTACTCGGAGAGGAATCACTTGCAGATGGCCTGGATCCGCCCAGAGGGAATATGCGATCCATTACATCGAGGCATACGCTTGTTCTTACGATTTGTTGCGAGTAGGCACTGTGCGAGTAGTGGAACGCGCTCGGTGAGGTCCGAGGCCCCCGGGGCCCCGCGGTGCTTCATGGCCCCGCGCCGTCGCGCGGCGGCCGCTGGGGCTGCATCAAAGGCCCCGGGAGCCCGCAGGCAGAGAGAAACCTCCAGGATCTCTCCTTCTCCTGCTCCTCCTGCTCCTCCTCCTCCTCCTCCTCCTCCTCCTCCTCGTCCTCGTCCTCCTCCTCCTCTTCGTCCTGCTCCTCCGCCACCTCCTCGTCCTCCTCCGCCCTCGTCGTCGTCGTCATCGTCCTCCTCCTCCTCCTCCTCCTCCTCCTCCTCCTCCTCCTCCTCCGCCCTCGTCGTCGTCGTTGTCCTCCTCCTCATCCTCCTCCTCCTTCTCCTCCTCTTCGTCCTGCTCCTCCTCGTCCTCCTCGTCCTCCTCCCCCTCGTCCTCCTCTTCCTCCTCCTCCTCCTCGTCCTCCTCGTTCTCGTCTTCCTCGTCTCCCTGGCGACAGCTCGACAACTCCTCCTCGTCCTCCTCCTCCTCCTCCTCCTCCTCCTCCTCCTCCTCCTCCCTGCTGCGTTGACGATCCACCAGACCACCCCAACCCATCCCGAAGACCCCAATGTTGAGTTTAAGGGCGGTACGAATCTTACCTGAGATCTTTTACCGTGTTCGCCGTCGCCCCCACCCCAAACACTGGGATTGGAGTGCAAATTGGTGCCCTCGGGTTGGGTTGGGGTGCTCGGATGGGTGGTGATTCATGGCGATATCTCCTCCTCCTCCTCCTCCTCCTCCTCCTCCTCCTCCTCCAGCTCCTCCTCCTCTGCGCCGTCGCCGCAACCGCCGCCGACCTAGGCTTGCGGAGGTCCGCCCGCCGGCCCAGGACCGGCCAACCACTGCACAGTCAACCCGCATCAAGAAGGACGCGCGGCGGGAATGCACGCGCCCGGAAGGCCACGTCGACGCTCTTCGAGCGGGGCGCGGCCAGCGCACGCGTCTGGGGATGGGCCGCAGGGGAAGGTCGGGTCGGGCGAAAGGGGGGGATAGCAAAGGGGGGGTTTGAGAATCAGCTCACGTAGCTGATTTTCCTGGCGCCTCCCGGCGCCGGAGGCGGCCATGTATCGAGGAATGGGCCCCTCGGTGAGGCCGAAACCAGCTGCATGCAGCAAATTTCGTAACCTTCCCAATCCCCCCCTTTCGCCCGACCCGAGAAGGATGCCAGGGAAATCGCTCCTCCTCACCATGCGGGCTGCCTGCCTCAGAGTCCTTGCATCCTCCCACTCCGCGTCGCCGCCGGCAGCGCCGGCGCAGTCGCCGTGGCCCCCTGAGATCAGACGTCGAGGACTAGGAGGAGGAGGAGGAGGAGGTGAAGGAGGAGGAGGAGGAGGGGCAACCTCGCGCAGAATCGCGGCCGGGGCCCAGGACCCGCTTGGCCTGCAGCACCGCTCTCGAGCTGAGATCAAATCGACACGGGGGGGGCCCAGGGCACGGCGGCATCGCCCCGTGCGACGACGACGCCGACGACGAATTCGACGAGGACGACGACGACGACGACGACGACGACGGCCGCGGCCCCGGCGTCGCCGTCGCAGCCCGACTGGGGCCCGCTGCGACAAAGAGGACGTGAGGCAGGATCAGTTGGCGGCGCGCACAAGGGAATGCGGAGAAGGGGGGGGGCCTCTTAGAATGAGGCTGCTTCTCAGAAGGCGCCGGCCTTACATCTACAGATAAGGGCCGCGCCTTCTGACAAGCAGGGATGCTTCTAGGAAGCACTCCTCCCTCTCCCCCCCCCCCTCTGCGCGTGGCTGAAAGAAGAAAAAACACCATAACCATACAGCAGGTTCGTCACAATCGCCCCGTGCGAAACAAATTGCAATGTTAGAAGAAGACAGAAACGCCATATAAACACGGTATGTCTGCGTCGTGTCGACTGGCGGCGAACCCGTTTCCGGCGTTCAACGTTGAACGCCGCTGGCGACCCAGAATCGGTCGACGTTGCTGACGTTTTCGGAAACGACCCATCGTTCAAGTTTGAAAGATCCCCGCGGCGTCAGGAACCAGCGCCCAGGTCGACACGGCACGAACCTGCCAGCAACCTCGAACGATCGGCCCTGTCCGCAACGTCCGATCGTTCAACATCGACCGATTCTGGGCCGCCGCCGACGTTCAACGTTGAACGCCGGCGTCGGGGTCGCCGCCCGTCGACACGACGTGAACCTATCGTAAACTTTGGGCCCTGGCGCGGATCCAAGAAATCCGCGCGGAGCGCCGCAAATATCTGTATGGCGCGTTTCCGTCTTCGAAACGTCAGGTTTCAGATCGGCGATTTCGTCCTGGGCGCTGCCGTCGGCGCAGGAGCAAGGTACAGCAGCACCACCACCACCACCAGCGCAAGGAGGCAGTGGGGGTGTCCTCCTGGTGGTGTGGTCCCCCACCTCCGCTCGAGAACTCTCCCATCCCCAGCTGGGGCAGCCTGGGGAGGCTTCGTGGAACTCCCTGCTGAAAGTGGCACCGCAAATTGCACACTCGGCGAGCACCACATTGGGAAACCGGATCGACTCGGAATGTGCACCGCATCAGGCCACATCGGCACGACGACAGAGTCGACTCGAAACAAATCCGCCGCGCCAAGGGTGCACAGCAGCGCCATGCAAGCACCGGGCCGCACCGGAGCGCCGGAACGTCGGAATCGAAGCGGGCCAGGCCGGCCAGCATCGATGCCGAATCGGACAGACGGGATCGAAATGGACACTGCGGTGGTGGTGGTGGCGCTGCTCTTTCCTCCGATCGTGAGGGGCAACGATAGGGGGAGACTGGTACAGAGGGGGATGCATCGACCCGGAATCGGCGATACATCGCCGATAGATCGGCGACAGGCCTCCGATAGTGAATCCGCACCTGCCTGTGCAGGTTTGGGGCTATCGGGCACCTATCGGCGATCAATGGGCGATTGGGGGTCGATGCATCCCCCCCTTCAAAACGGGCGCGGCCGCAAGAAACCCTCGCAAGAAACCCAACCCTGAGAACCCGTGCGCCAAGTGTACCTGAGGGGAAACCCGGAGCCGCAGCAGCTCCTTCAACGGCTGCGGGAAGTCATCGCGCAGAGCGAGGAGCGAAGAAACCCAGGATACCCTGACGAAAAGCACATGGTTTCTTGATGCGCGCCCCCAATGTATGCCCATCCCCCCCCTACCGTTGCCCCCGAGATCGGCGCCGCGGTCGTCGGCCTGCAGCCCGTCGGCTGCGGCGCCAAGAGGAGCAGCGGGAGCGCGAGGAGAGCCGACAAGGCGGCCACTGGTCGTGCTCCCCTGCGGC